GTTAAAAATATACCTGTTCTGTTAGGTACCAAATTAACTTATGTGGATATGATAGTAACTGAGTCCAAGGAATATAACGTAGTACTTGGCAATGAATATTTGGATAAAGTCCAAGCTACTATCGATTACTATGGTGAATATATGAGTATTGGAATAACAGATCAAATAGAGTATATTCCAATATCTTGTAAACAACGAATAGAAGACCCTAATACCATATATCTGATTAATTTCAAAGATTATCACTCTAATCAAGAATTAGAGTTAGAACTAGAAGATGATAATGAGCCCACTGCACCAGCCTATACAACTATTCAAGTTGAGAACACCTTTGCCCAATTTGAGAAACAATTAATAGCAAATGTAAAAATAGAAAATGCTAATAACCCTTTAAATCCTCCTCCACCAGATATTTTTAAGTTAGTGCAACTAGAAATTATTGAAATTAAAGATAAAAAGAAAGAGGATCAAAAAGTGTCTATACCAATTAGTAAAAACAAATCAACTTTTATTAAAAACAAATTATAACCCAACTATTATATAACAATGCTGATATTTTTGCAACTGAATTTGTAGAACTAAAGAAAACTAATATCATATACTATACTATTAATACTGGTGATTTTTATCCAATTAAACAAAGAGCCTATAGAGTCTCACTAATCGAACAAAAACATATTGAAAAAGAAATTGCTAAAATAGAATAAGATGGTATCATTCGGAAATCTAAAAGCTCTTGGAGCTCTCCTGTCATTTTGGTCAAAAAGAAAAATGGCAAGCTTAGATTTTGTGTAGATTTCAGAAAACTAAATAATGTGACAAAGAAGAACACCTACTCTCTACCAAGGATTGATGACATGTTAGACAATCTTGATAATGCTCAATAGTTCATGTCTTTAGACTTGACTTCTGGATATTGGCAAGTAGAAGTCAAAGAAAAGGACAAGGAAAAGACTGCATTCATTACTAAATATGGTCTTTATGAATTTAATATTATGCCTTTTGGATTGTGCAATATACCATCTATATTTCAAAGGCTTATAGATGTAGTGTTAAGGCTTGTTCTATGGAAAAAGGCCATGGTATATATTGATAATATTAATATATACTTCATATCATTTGAGCAACATATACTAGATATACAAGAGGTGTTTGAATTAATTAGACAAGCCAACCTTTAAATCAACCCAGAAAAATATCACTTCTGTACAAATAAAATACAATTTCTTGAACATGTAGTTGGTGTTGATAGAATCAAACCAGACCCTCAAAAGGTTAATAAATTAAACAATCTTCCCCCTCCTAAAACCATTAATCAACTTCGAGCTTTTTTAGACTTAGCATCTTATTATAGATGTTTTATAGAAGGATTTTCTACAAAGGCTGGACCTTTGTTAAAATTATTAAAAAAGGATGAACCTTTTATTTGGGAAAAACCCCAAGATAAGGTTTTTAACTGGTTTAAATATTGTTTAACACATACTCCTATATTACAATATCTTGATTACAATGAACCTTTCATTCTGTTTACTGATGCTTCTTATCAAGGACTAAGTACAGTCCTATCACAAATTAAAAATAGTCAAGAGCATACAATTGCATATGCTAGCCATACTTTAACTCTTGCAGAAACCAACTATAGCACTGTTGAACTTGAATGTTTAGTAGCTATTTGGGCTGTAAAATATTTTAAACATTATATTTTTGGAATGAGATTTACTTTAATTACTAATTACAAGGCACTACAATGGTTATTGAATTCATATATTATTAATGACAACAAACAGATAACTCGATGGAGAATGACCTTTCAAGAATATCAGTTTGATATTAAATATCGAGCTAGTAGCCGAAACAAAAATACTGATTTTCTATCTTGCCTACTTGAATATTTAAAAGATAATGGATAACAGACTATACATCAGCTATATTAATATCTTTCCTCTCTACAATTTGACTTAAATATCTCTAATACAGAAAAATCTCGAATCCAAAAAGAAGCAAAACATTATTTTATAGAAAACAACAAACTATATAGAAGAAA